GAGACTCAACTGAATCTCTCGTTTATGATATTCTACAACTGAATGTGCTGCACGCAGGCCGCCTCATGATTCAGTTGGCACGATATTCGAGATATCGCAGTATAACTCCCACATGCCAAGGAATAATGGAAGAAAATCACAAGTTGTCATTACCCAATAGCGTGAAAACCTAGTCTAATCTTTAGTGGCCGGACTTAACTAACAACAGGTCAAATTAGTCCTTACAGGTGTAATGGATGATCCGATCAACTGAGTTATGCTGTGGCAAAGTTCTTTTCTGATAATATTAAGACAAAACGTCGGAACTGAATATCCGGTTCCAATAAGCAGATGCACCCAGACAGTTTACTGCTCACTACCATTCAGTCATCGAGGGTCAATCTATCTATTAAGGTCCATTCAGTATCACTGTCTCACCGCAGCTGAGTCAACCGTACTTCGCTCACATGACACAAGTCTATGCACTCAGAAAGCGCTCGTGAGCGTACTGAGACTTTCATAGTCTACTCACGTGACCGCCGGGTACTCGGGCCAAACGGTCGTGACGTAAACAGTTTTCACTTCGCTTTAACTTTGTTTTACTTGTATGCATCGTCCATTTTTCCGTAGCACTGTGTTGACCAGAGGAAGAAATCACGAAAACATTAGGAGTCATTAAAATGTGTTCTGAATTATCCGTCTACCTTATGAGATCAGCAATCAGTTTGATCAGAATTGCAAGCTGCGTGAAGTCTTGCTAAAATGGCGAGAAAATCTAGATTTAGCGATAATCCGGCAGTGAATATTTTTCCTAATAGACCTTATGACTTCCACTCCTATTCACTCTCTCCCTTAATCTTATAGTGCACTCATAAATGAAGTGTTTCTACAGTAAGAGCTTAGATACGTATATATTGGTTTGCAACTTCACACGTCCCCTCAACTGATGATCAAAACCGCCTCTCGACTCACAATTAATGACCTCATCACTCAATAGTTATCGCTGATCCTGCGACTCCTTACGTTGAATTCTGTTTGCATAGTGAATACAGCGCGCTTGTGTTACCCCCCATTGATTAGCTAAAGCCATAAGGGGTTTGATCGCCTCGAGGTGATTTTTCTCTGGATGCCGCTGGGAACGGAATATGTGGTTCAGTCCAAAAGCTCGGAACAGACCGAAAGGTTCGAGTGTTCCACATATGTTTACCAAGAGCTCCAGGTCTCAAGAGGATAATCTGTCAACAAAACATGTTGGACCACCGACGAACAGCTTGGGTTCCAGCCACGGTTTTGTGTTTGCTGTTTCGCCCAAGGCAACCGGTGGCGAGTCACAGCTTGTCCAGTTCGCACGTGGATACACGTGGTCCGGTTAGTCTTCTGGTTGTATGGCGTACATGCAGTTGGTTTGCCTGTGAAACATACGATAAGACGGGACCATTATTACACTATGTGACGGAAACGGAGTGGTTGTTTTTGGACCCTGTGAAATCAGGATATCGGTTTGGCGAAATATACTCATTTGCAAACCTATTTGATTTTGCGGGAGAATCACCTGGAACCTAGCTGAATCGTTCGTTTATGTACATATATGTATGCGTGTAAATACACATATTTATCTTTATATGACGGATGATACCGGTACCTCCGTGATATACAGATGACTGGTGCAGGTACCCATTGTTAGGCCGGCCTCTTCGCTTTCGGCCCTGAAGAGCTTGCGCGTAGCCTCACATTCGTTTCCGCACAGAACGTCCGTGGATTCTTATTACGCACAGGCTTCCACTGATTGGACTACTATTGATCGATAAATTCGATTCCGGTGTCGGCCATTCGTATGGTATATACTGAGCACGAACGCGTGGGTGAAATACCGGAGAATAAGGCAGGTATTGTACGAGTTCAGTGAAGAAATAAGCATGAATTCACATTACTACCAAGGCGTCTAAAGTTTTCACAGACTCATGACTCCGTCATATCACGGGGTGACAATATCTCACCCCAGAGACCGTCATATTTTGTCTTTAATTATGCTACTTGTAATAAACGAGTAGGATAGGCAGCGTCTTCAGGCCTGTGAACACAAGTGAGGCTGGTGGTAACAGTGGAGTGGTGATAACAGTGAAGCATTGGTTTCCTCGCCGAAACTTCGCGCCATCTCATTTTGGGAACTGACATCGTCCGCTTTTTCCCGCTGTGCGTGCTTCCGGCCAAAAGGTCGTAGTGTATTATTGCTTCACGGATAATGCTTCACTCTTGAACTAATTACTGTCAGAAAATACTTTCCGTCCGTCACGTTAGCTAAAACCAAATGAATTCGGTCATCTCAGATCGGCGGTCCCACTGTAGAGGACAGAGCAACATAATGTGTGCTGCGTCAACACACAGCCATATGTTCGAATCAGGAAGATCCTTAAATTCCCTTTAAGCATGCAGAAAACGAGTACTGACCAGTTAGTCATGTGTCTAGCGGCAAAATACAGCAATCTCTCACTAGTTATAGTGTCAACGAAACCGGCCAGAATTATTCTGTCGTACAGCCTTTCTGGCTGTTAACAAAGTGGGTATTCTGTTACCAACGTTTTCTCTGGAGGTGCATCTGATATTCGGGCCTCTTGACTGATTATTGACCTCGAACCGCACTGCTTTTTCACAAAGTGCGGCAATTCCTCGATAAAATTCCTAACTCTCACCCCTAACCCGTGTGACAGCTGACTGACGAGTCGTCAATCAATTTTCTACTGCTGAGTACGAGTTCAACTTGTACAATATTCTTCTAATAAGATACACACGTCTCGTTCAGCTGTAGCACCCTTCCGGTGCCTAACTGCCATGCCACCCGAAGGTTGCACGAGGGCTGGGATACTGCCAGGTTGCCCAAGCCTAGAAAGGGGAAGTCGAGAGGCAGAGATCGGGTTCGAACCACACACACCTGGATGAAGGTAAATGAAGAAAGTGAAATTCATGGGAGAGAGAGGGGGCTGTGGCGTTATCTAACCGTGACAAATCGAGGAAAGAACGGGGGCGGCATCAGCTGGACTGCTTAGTTCTAGGTGCTAATCAGTGGCACAACATGAATGAACATCAAATACTGATGTTTTCTCACTCAGCGATAAGCACCCCTTACAACCGAAATTTCTTGTCACAAATTTTGGTTCATGTGAAAATTGGGGTGTTATCGGCGTTTCCAAATTGGCTACGCATACCAAACCTACGTTTGAGCGGATACCATCCGCTTGAACCGATTTCCGGTTCATTCTTCTTTCCAAGGGGTTTCGGCTCTATGAAAGACTCACTACACTTGTCGAACAATTTTACCGGTTATTTATTGAATGTTAGATTAAGCGCAAACCGCTTTTTAATCCCATGTTCTTTCCGAACAACGCTTGAAGCTAAGAGTAGACCCGTTTTATGGGAATATAACCAAAACCAAGAGCGAAGGAGAACCTGAAAATAAAGTAACAAGAGGCAGGAAATTAGCATACTTGCATCTCAGACTTCGTCCTGTAAGTGTAACCGATCTATGCTGAAAATTGGAGGAGCATTGTACAGTCGTTTCATTCCTATTGGAAATCAACGATATTGGGCATCTCACCAAACTCATAGGGGTTTCGAAACGTCGACCTTCCCACAAGCAGCTTGAACACTTGATCGTCCGACCACAAGCTGCTGAACAGCACTGGGGATGACTCGCCCCGCGAGAGGACACAAGGCCATTCGTGCTTCAACCACGGAACCCACTTCACGTGGTCATGTATTGACTGGATCGTCGAGTAACGACTTTTCAGGTGGAAGTTACACTCATCTTCTTGGATGATTACCGATGCTCAGCCCGCACGTCTTCTAGCCTCAACTGATCTGCTATGTCAATTCAGATCTAACTAATTTGATTGACGAAATATAAGGCGCAAAACCAATAGCACTTTTGGCGGTTTCCTCAAAAAAATAACGAGTCGTTTTTTGTCTTCGCAAAAGTTTATTCTCGGCAGCTTCTTCCATCAGTTTCAATTTCCCACGATATTTTCCGCTGCACGAAAAATACGGATATCCACCGATAATCGGTGTCACAAGAGGGAGGATGGGGCAGAAAACACGATACGGTGAAGGAAAAACTTGAAAATGTGTGAAAGAACTCACCACTCCACGGGGTACAGTTATTTGCATAGCAAACTGGTCTGAACAGAAGATTCAACTGAATTCCAGCTGAAGAATATCATAAATGAGAGATACAGGGTGGGGGTTCAGCTCAGTCCCCGGTTAAAACCGAATTGCTGTGAAAATGAGTGCAGTTCATGAATCTCGCTCAGTGTGGTTTCAGGAAGAAGATAACGTTGATGGAAGAAAACTCCGGGAGTTCGTCTATCTCACAAATATGAACAGGAAGGGCAAAGCCCATCAAGGGCTCTCGAAGAGTTTTCAGCAACCTTGTGCGTATTCTACTTTGAGAAATAGTTCATTAATCCACATTAACTGTACAGTCTTGTTTCTCAAACGGTCGAAGGGCATTGGGTCGAACAGATAGTACTGTCTCATATGAACACTTGTCTTATTCACGAAGTTATAATTTGCCCATCCAGTGATGCCTGCGTTTTAGTAGTCGGTTCTTTCGGCGTTACTGTGGAGACTTCATGAATTCGTATACATACACTCGGTTTCGGACTAATTTTGAAAAGTTTTGAAAAATATCCCCCTTTGAATATTTTGCGGGTACAAGCAAGCTGGAAAAAGCATATAAGGAAAGAAAGTTCCATTGGTATTAGTAGGTAGGCCGCACTACTGAGGCCGCCACTTCACAGGGGAGCTGTTTGTGTTCTTGGGATTCATTCTCTGAGATTCTGCTAGCTGTAACGCATGAGTGAGAGATTCTTGTAGAAACTAACAGGAGCGTTTTCTAGGCTGTCAAGCCCTTCTTATCAGGCGTAATGTGCCTTTTTGTAGCTGTCCGCTATCGGAGGCCATCTGTTAAAACTGTTGTATCCTGAGTATTCTTGAGCGTATGCCTGGCTTATGTAATCGTTAGTGTTCCACAATGAGGTTCAAGGCTGTAAAATATCAGAGTAAAGTAGTCCAACAACTATACCGAACCAATGTATCCAACAGCCGTTAATTTCCTTGAACAGGATATGGAATCCGAGCAATAGATCCACGTTTTCGGAAGTTTTCACGCTCATTCCACTCCACGCAAATAGTGCAACGCATATTCACCCTTCTGCATTGTGCGTACAAAAAAGTCCAGGGGTGTGTTAAGTCCCCCATATAACGATGTGTTTCACCTTGACCTGACACGTGTCGGAGCGTCTCTGCTGTGTATGGGAAACGGACTTGTTCAACAGAACAGTGTGGGACCGCGTGAGAACCAAACACGAAAAAAAAACAAGTGAACGGCTTCTGATCGTTGTTCTGTCACACCAAAATGATACGGAGAATGGATGTGACCAGATGGTGGGAAACCACAGCACACAGGTAGAATAAAACCCCGAAAAACAGGTGTTTCCACTTGAGGAATAGAAATTTTCTAGTGAGTGACTGCATCTAGACGGCTCAGCTTTTGAAATGAAAATTCTGTCCTGTTAGTGAAGCCGATTTATGCCAATAGGCACAGTGCTCCTTGGTTTTTCAACATAGATCGGCTTTACTTACGAGGCGGAAACTCCGAATCTCCTCATGTCACCAAAAGTTTTGCTTTTTCCATTACAGAGCGAAGAGGTCACAGTCACAATACCTTGTGGTACTGTTTCGACAGGGTTGATCAAGATGATGATGATGGTGATGATGATGATGATGATGATGATGATGATGATGATGACAATGTCCATCCAAACCCATAATGGCAGATGATAACTTCAGAATTAACTCGACCGAGGAATAGGCACATAGAATAATCACTTATCAGAAATACAACTGTCATCTTCAGAGACCAAAAAGCTAAATTTACTATGGACGTAATACACTAACCATAAAGTTGCTGAAAACTCCTCGGCAGCTTAAGAACACCGTAAATAAGAGATTCAGTTGGTTTCCAGGTGCGTCTCCTATCAAAATCAAAATGGCATACAGAGTGCATAAGTCTAAATTTAATATGATACTGAGATGGATGGCGTGCGTGGTGTTTGCATGAGTCCGTTTCGAGCAAAATCTGACATACTAAATGCAATATGGTGATCACCTCGATGGATCCAAAATTGCCCACCACCGAACTAGCTTTTCGGAGCCCGAGACAGATTCAAACATGTGTGGAAACTTTGTCTAGAGGACTTAGGTTGGACTATGTTAAAACTTTAGAAAGTCATTCTTGTTTGAACCCATCGGAATCTGCTGAGTGAAGTAGGGGATTCAGGTAAACGGGTTTTTTGGAAGGGATAAGCGGAAAGCCAGAGTCAAGTTAATTTTTAGTTTAACTTAATTTAAATTTAATTTTTGCGGAGACAGCCGAATCGCAGCTGAATCTCTGGTTTCTGAAGTTCAGCTGAATGTGCCACAAAAACGTTGCCTCATTTTCCATTTGGTGCGATATTCCATATATCGCGAGATATTTTATTGGCACGATGCGGTTTTCGTGCACTGCACTCATTTGAACAATTTCATAAAAGAGAGACTCAAGAGAGATTCAGCAGGGTCTCCCGTTTGAATCTAAGCAGTTTTCAAATCAGGCTTCCGGTGGTTTGAACGTAAACATTGTTTACGGCCTGCATTCTTCTGATGCAGGCAGTGAAGACAAACGCTCTTTTTAATAAAATGATTTGGTGCTGGCAGGAGATTCAGCTGGATCCATGGTTTACACTAATATTCAGCCGAATGTACTGCTTAAAGGCCGCTTTCGGTCGCGGTGGAAACGATATTCGAGGTGTCCAAATAGTTACCCGGATATGACACTGCTTGACACCACTGTAATTTGCACTTATCTTCGAGTTCAAATTCAGTGTGGAAATTTGTGAATTAGTGCCTTCCGATGATTCCAAACTAGGGTGTAAATGATTTTAGGCTATCGATAGTTCTCATTGATCTTCCGAGTAACGTCCTATTTTAGAATAACCAAGAGCCTGTCGGTAAATCTAGTTAATTCGGACTATTTCGTATACTATAATTGGATGTGCCAGTTACTAAACCCCCTAAGTTGAAGGGTAGTCGCAAAAGGCTATTCATTATTTCCCAAAAATCTATCAAGCCTTTTCGAATCCCGTTGGTCTTCAGCTGTAAAACCTCCTCGGTGCCTAACTGTCATGCCAAGCACCCGGGCTGAGATACTGCCGGGTTGTCCAAGCCTAGACACGAGCAGTCGAGACCGGGTTCAAACCACGGACCTCCCGATCAGTAAGTCTGCAACTCAGTCACTGAACTATCACTCCAAATCCCGCTTTTTCCAGACAAAAAACAAGGGTAGACAAGGAACCACCAGATTCTGTCGTTTCTTACTTTAGGTATCGCGTCTTTTAGACACGACAGTGCGAAGTTTAAGTTGGTGCATTGAAGATAGCAGTCATAATCAACGTCCACAGATGAAAACACTTTTGTAGTTGCTAATCCTCAACTGTTCATGCAGATGTGATAGTTCAATGAGTGAAAGTTTTCAGAATGGAACAGTAATTGATTGATAATCGCTAGTTCAGTAGGCTTTTTAGGATATTAGTCTACATGCTCAATCGGCCCATCTCTAACCCTTCCAAATGAGTGCTCTCAGAGGTTGTAGTTCCTGTTTATTAGTAGGCAATGGAAATAAGTAGTTTTAAGTGACAACCAATGCTAAGATTCCATCAGACTATCTTTCCAATTGATACACATGGACTTCTTATATTTTACTTTTAACGGAATGTGCGTTAACCATCCTGTGGTAGAAATCCAAGTGATTTTTCTTGATGACGGGAGTCTAGCATAGGTGGAAGGTGCCCACACCATTCTAAAAACGTACGAATATTTTTCAAACTGAGATTTCGTCCTGTCAGTGAAGCCAATCTATACTGAAAAAACTTAGAAGTACTTTACAGCTGTTTCGTCCTCATGTGCATTCGTCCATATTTGAGAAATAGAATACAACGGTTTGACGACTGGATATTCAGTTGGTGAAGCACCATCATATAGAAGAAACCAGTGGGCTCGGAAAATTACCCGGTAAAATCGCCTCCAGAATCAATTCGATTTTACAGTAGGGCATATTTAGTTTTTGCTCGACTTTCTATGCGAGGAATCATGTGCTCTTGGTTCTTATACATCTTTGCACACTGTGTAAAACTCGCTTTCGACCGCCACGGTGAATTGGAATCGATGAATCGGAGCTTGATCAAACGATCTGTTTACACCTGGTTAATATCGGCATAGGGCTTGAAGTTGCGTTGCGATGCCAGAATACTTGGCGAATTATGCGACGGATTTTCTGGAGTATCCAATCTATTCCACCTGGTTCTCAGCGACGTTCCAACAACCGAGCACTATCATTATCTGGTTGGCCCATTGCGGAAGCATCCTGGTAGACCCAACATCACGATGAAACTCTTAAGACTGGAAAGGCGTTAAGCTTCTCGAGTTCACGGCCTCTCCAGCTTGGTTGCACTATTATTCTTAATGAAATTGCCAAGTCTGATATTGAAATTCATGGGTGAACAATAACATTTGTCAGGTGAAACGATTATTTTTAGGTAGCACGTCCACAATACTACTAATCTATTTCGACCACTGAGCTCACAAAAGCAACCAGTCTTTAATGTGAATCAGATAATTTTGCATCGCTTTGCTACTGGTCAATTTAGTTTCAACCCTCATTTTACGTCAAATCCGAGGGCCTGCAACTTGAAGGTTTACAAAACATTCTTCAAGGCTTTACATTGTGCATCTTCAGTGTATAACTGAAACGACTCCTCAACTGCATTTATAGACTCAGCGGTTTTTTTCACCAGGGTTGCCACAAGAGTGGATGGCGGAAAACAAGGCTTGAATGATCACTAAAATGCTCCTTCTTTTCGCCTCTTCTACAGTTGATGATCTTTCGCCGAAACACTATGGGGAAGGTGACAACAGATAATAGGGACTCATGCCTGGCAGTATTAGACAGTTAATCCAAAAATGGTTACTTCCATCAGGACCATTTCAACCACAAACGCCGATAGCTTAGTGGGCGTGGGAACACAAGAATGTCAGATTTACGAGAGAGTTTGTAATTACCTGCCTGACTGCTACTGGAAACGAGGTGGAAATTGTAGCTGTGTGATGTGTCCGGAAGGTAAAATCTGTGAACAGACTTTGGCGTAGAAACACGAGTAACTGAATGCTCAGTGGTTGTTTCAAAACTATGTTAAACTGGAGGCTGAAAGTGCGAAAACATACATGCTGATAGCAGATTCAACACAACCTGGACTAAGTATCGCATTTCCCTCAAATCAGGAGCCAACATCATCATTTTGACGATTGTCTGCCAGTCTTCTTGTTGAATTTCGATAATCTATGGAGTGGTGAGAAATTGCTTGTTCAAATGGTTTTATTTACTTCGTCTCAAAGACTATCATGACTCTCAAAGACCCGTACACACTTCTGGGAGAAATTTGAAGTTAACCGTGTCTTCATGTTCCTTAAGTAAGGTTTACTGCCAGAAATGGATTATCTATGAGTTCTTTTGATAACGCTAATAAGAAAGACATACGCACTGCTGGTAACAGGATAGAGAACCGGATAGACGCCTGATACAGGGAACGACCTATTACAGTGTGATCAGTAAGTTCCATTCTTGGCGAGCAGTTCTGTCTGCTGATCGCAGGTGACCAGGCCCGCCAGATACTGAAATAATTGAGACAGTAACAAGACAAAAGTTGGGTAGGTTTCACACTAATAATGGGAGAAGCTTCTCTGGAAAACTCAGAAGATAATTATGACTGAACACAACGTATCTCAGCTGATCGATCATAGTCAACTCTGAGTCATGTGACGAGCAAATGGTGAGCCATCTCGCCGGGCATACTATATTTAATGTAATCTGAACTCGAAATGAGGCGGGGTAATATTGAGTCAGTAGGACCAAGTGACCCTGTGTAAAAATACCTGATCGACCGAATTTACCGGCCGGATTCATACTGTCTTCCTCCCTTCAGCCTGTCTTCCAGGTGTGGCTGTATAGTTCCCATTTCCAGTATTGTGGTTCAAGAAAACAAAACAAACCGTTATAATTTCTGAACTGATCACGAAAGAAGTGTAGGTCAATAGTGACTGGACAAGTGGCTGAATGAAACGACAATAGTGGAAATTCCGCTTTATTCTCTCGACATTTGCTGTATTGAATCACAAAGCACACACGGAGCTGTTGGCATATCGTTAGCTTTTTAGTTTTTGGTGCACTAGCGAACCCACTCAAGAAATTTTCTGGTAACGGTCACTGAGGTGCTTCGTATCAAAGCTGCGATCTCTGGACAAAACAAAATTTAAATGATGAATTGTGGCAAGTTCAGTCATCTCAGTTCGTATTTATCATATCGCTGTCAAACCAACTCGACTCAAGAGCCGCTGATGCCCCAAGCGGATTTCGTTCAAGTATTAGTAACTAATGGATAGGATCGTCCTGTGTGGAATACACTAGTTAAGAGGGCCATTCGTGACCAGAAAGGCCTTGGGATTTCGGAAACCAGTGGAGCGAGGAAAAGGATTCCATCTGTTGCTATGGTAAGCGCTTTAGAATGTGCTGAGGAAATGGCCCATATTACCAAAATTTCCAAGACGAACCACAGTTCGCTCGGACAGACCCTGTGACAGAGGTTTCACATCTGAGCTCAGCGACTACTCTGAGCTGGAAATGTCTGTTCTACATAATTTTTCTCTAGTTAGGTCAAACACCCTACCAAATAGCTCGTAGTGGTCTCCTGAACTTTTCTTCGACATTAATGGTAATTATACCTCACATAGAGGGAAATTAACACTGGCCTATGATAAACACAGAGACAAGGCATCTGAGAAATCCATTGAGAAGGAAGTCGCTCTACTACACATTTTGACCACTGGAAGATAGGAATTGCCTCTCTTTTCGCTGTGATAGTCAAACTGGCAGACCACTTCAATCATATGAGAAGGGGGTAAAAAGGGAGGGATATTCAGAATATACTATAGGCACTGAATGCCCTTTACATCTCTGTCCTTCACTCTGCGTTGCAGCATTTAATCGAATCTAACCTGTCCTGTAGACGGCTCAATGATTAAAACGGAAATTCATTGGTCGAGAGGTTCGTGGTTCGAACCCATCCCTGGCGTCTCGACTGCTCGCACCTATGCTTGAGCAATCTGGCAGAATCTCAGACCTCGTACTTCCTTCGGATGGCGTGGATGCTGGGTGCCGAAAGGGCGTTACAGCTGAACGATTACTTCCGTTATTGTGTACCCAAAAAGGAGTTGTTTTGATTGCCAAGACAAGACATTCCGCTTCTCATGATCTAATCGTCCCACCTAGCAAATCTCTAAGACTCACACAGACAGAGTACTTCACTATAATCACAGAATTTGTGACATGATCTTTTGATCATTGGTAATTTAACTTGTAGCTGCTCTGAAGCTTTATCCGTATCAACTAGATGGAAGTAATTTGTATGTCTGCGAACCCAGATTAAGGGAGCGATGGGTTTATCATACAAAAATGTGCTATTTTCTTCTTTGTTTGGGATTGGTTTGGTCACCGTTCCCAAAGTGCAGCGCTTTGCGGCTGAATACAGACACCTGTTCTGTTCTTTTCACTGCCAGTGTCACCTGCCTGTGTACAGGGACAGCCAACTTCGGAAACTTCTATCATATCCATCATAATGTTGGGATGCCATCTAGCGCCTGGATAAGGTGAGGCTATGAATCTATCAGTAGTCTCATTCAGAACCATTTTAATAAAAAAACTCAGACAACTTGAACCATTTTGGAACATGACATTGGCATCTGCGTCAAGAAGTTTGTAATGATCTGCATGACTCCTATGCACTAGCTGGACATTGCAAACGTAGGATTTCTACGGAAACTTACATCCGCGAACAGATTTGGCTATATTTGCGTCTAATGTGGCAAAACAAGAAACCCGGAGTAATCATGTTAGAAAGGATGTTAACAGTGTACAACAAAGTAGCTTACAAGATCAGAACTTTCGACCCAAATGCGACCCAACTCGAGCCAACAAGACTTTGGCGCTTAATTCGATCAAAAACCCGTATACTAGTACGCCTCAATTCAGAGGTACATCCAAAGATTCCTACGTCTTCTGAATCTTCCCTATTGATTCAGAATTTGGGTTACCGAGAGAACGCTACCCTGCTTGTTTGTTGCGGTGTACTTTCAATTCAAATAAGACATGTTAGTCCAAGGGCTAGGCCCACTGGACGAGTCCCAGATAGGGCGAAATAGGAAATGGGCTGTTCATAGTTTTTGTCGACTCTATGAACAATGGCATATGAGGGAAGTTTTTTGGCACATTGAGTATGGAGCCTGGGGTGGCCCTTTGGTAAATATACAGTGAAACGCTGCTTGATCAACTCAGAGGCTTAAGCCACGTAAACAGCTCACGGCCAAGAAAATAATATGCTGCTTGCTTAAAACCTTCGATGATGGGTGTACTGAATCAGGGATGCTTATCAATGTGTCCATAGTTCATCCAAGTTTATTAGGAACATTTGGTGGTTTGGCGCCGGCCCTTTTCAATTGCTGGCAAACGTCTGGAGGCATTAACCACTGTCATTCAACCACAATCATTTCACACATAACAATTGAAGTATTGCAAAATTACGTGGATCCGATTGACGGTTGACGTTTTCTATTTACGGAGCAACTTCCAACGCTAAATTCAGTTTGCCATGGAATTTTGTCTAATGGGCAACTCATCAAAGCTTTGAACATCATGGGTAGGCCGTCAACGGAGAGTTGAAGAGGAACTTAACAATAAGTTCCTTCTTCGGAAGCGGTTCTATTGTAGAAGTCAGTTCGGGCAGTTCGTCGACAGCCCACGACCGGTTTCGCCCTTCTTGGGGCTCATCAGGTAGACGCAGTTCTCGAGTTTCCGTTAGTCTTATGTTCTACGGGAAAAATCACAAACGAGAGATTCAGCTGGGTTCCAGGTAAGTCTCTCGAAAAAACCAAATTAGATTGTAAATGAGTGTATTTCGCTAATTTCATGCAATTTGGTTTCAAGTAGAACATAAGTTTGACGGACACTCGGGGACTGCGTCTATCTGATGAGCCCCAATAAGGGCGAAACCGGTCGTGGGCTGTTGACGAAATTTCAGCAACCTTATGAGTAGTGCATTACGAATATCCCTGTAATGCTTCATAGGATTTCTGCGTTTGTGGTCTTGGTCACCATACCAGAAGAAATCACTTCAAACGAAAGATTCAGATGAGCCCCAAGAAGGGTGAAACCAGTCGTGAGCTGTCGGAGAATTTTCAGTAACCTTGTGACTAGTACATTACGAATATACTTGTATCGTAATGTCTCGAATATGGTAGCAACTAAAACATGAGGCGGCCTGGTGCAGCACCTTCAGTCCCCCGGAAACATCACAAACGGGAGATTCAATTGAGTCCCAGGTGAGTCTCTCGTAAAACCAAATTTGTTTTCAAATGATTGCATTGCAGGGATCATTCATAGTTTCAACTAAAAAACATTGAGAGCAACAAGACGATCCATTGAAGATCTTTCAGTTCCTGTCGGTTAAACAAAGGGAAATTCGCACGTCATGGAAAACAAAGTGTGGTAACCAAACTGTCAGATAAGTGTCATTGTCACTGAAGAGACCACCGTCAGAAGAGCAATTAGTACGCCTCCAGTTCAACATTGAATCCGAGGCCTGAAGAGTAACTTTGATGTTTCTCAATTCATTTCACACTTACCATTCCGAAGCCAATTCGGCTTGTGCCTTATAGACTCCTTAGTTCAAGTGTGATTGGCTTACCAAGCGTGTCACACTCAAATGTTGGTAACTAAATGACAGAGTCCTTTTCCATTAAACAAACTGACCCAAAACTCCAACAATCAGTATGGGAAAAGTGCAACTGGTAGTCAGAAAATGGACAAAACTACCGGTAGCAGACAAACGGTGATGTGCAAACTAAGCTACTGTTAACAATGAACACAACAGAAATAGTGTCTCCTTCAGCTGAATGTGTTGCACAAAAGCTGTCTGATCTCCCACCTAAGGTGGCATTCGTTTGTGGACCGGAGGGCCAGTTATGGGACAGATTAAGAGATAAAACTTATCTGTCCGCAAAAACACCATCAGCCCACTCCTGCAAATTGTGTCTCTTCCAGCAACGGTTACCTCTCCGACTAGCTACTACTGATTTCGATAGGCCTTTTATATTTTATTATAGAGAGGGAGAACTCTGTCGGGAAACACAATCCCGCAGCTCTGGTTTCTAGCTTCAAGCGTCATGCCGTAGTCACCTAAATCTTAAACGAAACCACACATATAGTGTTCTTAAAGTGAATTGTATCTGATTACCAAAGTTTGCAAATTGCTACGCCCTTCAAATAATAAATCTACCTCCTTGAATGAAAGTGCTCACGAGGTTTGTGAAAACTCATCGACAACCCACCATGGGTGTGTTTGTTGAGTAGATCTGCTTGTTTTGTCTTGTTTGTTACCTATTTTAGCAGTGGATGATGCCCTCATGACACTGTTTCCAGCTCTAGTCGATGCAAGGGCGTTTTACCGACTGTCCTCTTGTTAACTGACATTGACCCGTGTTATATCGTCAGGGATACGCAGCTGAAAATTCACTCAACCTATTAAACAATATGATCAATTTGTCAGTTGATGATGCTGATGTACAATCCTTGGTTGACCATGAAGGTCATTCGCTGTTGTCTAGAAAATTCCCTCCAATCTTCCAGTTTTCCAAGAAACTTCTGATGTCTAACTTCCACCAGTACACTCACTGATTTGGTTTAATTTCGACTTTCCCAGAAAGCAGCTATAGAATCTTGGTAAACAATCACTGCGGCACAATCTTTCTTGGTAGCACTTTCCAGTGGTCAGTGTAAAATAGAGCCGGCATGTGTTCAGTGATAGGCCATCATGAGTTGTCCTCAATCTTTTGAGTAATGAGGGTCGAAGATGA